CTTGATAGGATGTAGGGTTTAGGACTTAGGGTTGAGGGCAGAAGGGTATGCTACCTCTGATCAGTGCCCATGCAGCTGTTTTTTTTGTCTCGGGTGGACGGCCCCACGGACTTGGGGAATGTGTAAGCTCTGCGGGGGTATGCTGACTTCGACCCTCCAAACCTCCAAATCCCAGAACCCTTAACCCCCCAAGCCCCAAACCCCAAACCTAAGTCCCAAAAAATCGGCACGTCCAGCCGAGCCGGATCTGAAAGCAGCGCGAAGTTTATAACTCTGCCCGACCAGCGCTTGCAAAGGGTTTGGGGTCTTAGGCCCATCATTAGGGTTTAGGCGTTTCGGGTTTAGGGTTTAGGGTTGCTGCAAACGGTGTGGTTTAGCCCTAATCCCTAAACTTGCCCTAGTCCCTACGCCCTAAACCCTAAGCCCTGGTCCAAGGGTTCAGTTGCCCTCTACACCCTAGACCCACACAGCCCTAGACCCTAAGCCCAACCCTGTTTTCATCTGTGGCAAGCTCTAGACCTCAATGCGCCTTGACGCTCGTAGCAGGGTTTCAGGTTCAGGGCTTGCTAGGGTGTGTGTCGAGTGCTTCGGCTATGGTTCCGCGCTCTTCAAAGAGCGACTAAACCCCCGAGCCCCCTAACTCTAAACCCTAAACCCTAAACCCTAAACCCTAAACCCTGGACCCTAAACCCTAAACCCTAAACCCTGAACCCTAAATCCTAAACCCTAAACCCTAAGCCCTGACCCCAAACCCTAAACCCTAAACCCGAAACCCTAAACCCTAAACCCTAAACCCTAAGCCCTACCCCGAGCCGTAGAGCCAAAGGCCTGAGCCCCCCAAAATATCAGAATTCAGCACTACTAAGCCTCAGCCCGAAAACCTGAACGCCCAAGCTCTAACTCCTAACATGGGTTTAGGGTTTAGGGTGTAGGGTTTAGTTTTTAGGGTTTAGGGTTTAGGGTTCCTATCTCCTTACCCTAAAACCTAAACCCCAAACCCTGAGGATCAATCACGCCCAGGCGGATTTACTTACAGGGGCTCTCGCGCGTCCAGCGATCGCGGGCATGTGGTGATTTCACCGGACAAGCCATAAGAGGTTATCTTGGCCAAAGAGAACGACGGGACTAGGTGGTTCCACTACCCTAAACCCTAAACCCTAAACCCTAAACCCTAAACCCTAAACCCTAAACCCTAAACCCTAAACCCTAAACCCTAAACCCTAAACCCTAAACCCTAAACCCTAAACCCTAAACCCTATAAGTAGATGCTCCGCTGCAAGGTTTCTGCTGACTTTCTTGCTTTCTAGTTCACGAGCTCTGCTGGAGGCTTTGAAAGCATAAGGGGGTTCCGAGGGGCCACGGGAATGCTTGGTTCTTTGGCCAATAGCCGGCCCTTTGGGGTGTAGGGTTTAGGGTTTAGGGTTTAGGGTTTAGGGGAAACGGGTTTAGGCCTTAGGGTTCCGTGTTGAGGGTTGTAAGAACCTCGAAGCGTTTCCTTCGGACCCTATCGTCTGAGTGGCAAGCGTGCCCAAAGCTCTGAAAGGTTGGGTTTGAGGTTGGACTTACTATAGGCGCCTTCATAACTAGAATAGGGTTTTGGGGGGGTTGTTTTAGGAAAGTTATGTAGGGACTCACAAGGGCAAGTTATTCGTAATCATTCCGTCCCCTCCTCTAGTAGCCGTCCCACCGTCCCAGTGGATCCTGTGGATTGCGCGAACCCCTCCGGAAAACCTCGGTGGACGTCCCGGACACACTGGGCCTCGTTTGCCTTCTCGGGGCGTTGCAGGGAAGATCGGGCTCTCAGTTCCGGGGTGCTTCTAGGGAATCTCTAGGGAGGCCTTAGGGTTTAGGCCTTAGGGTTTAGGGTTTAGGGTTTCCCTTTCGGGAATTTATCTATTTTCCCTTGTTGGGTTCAAGAGGGCCATGTTTTTTCAGAGGGGTTTTTTGAAAGGGCTATCCTAGGCATCCTCACAGGAGTTGGTTGGTTTTTCCTGCTACGAGCCAGTCAGTTGTGTCACCGACACTTGTCAGTGTCTCTCGCCTTCACAGGGGGGGCTCTCTCCGAGTCTCGACAAAGTATTCGTAGGGCCTCCGAAGCAATCCCTGAGCCTTTGAGACCGAAGCCCCTCAGCAGAGCCCGAAATCCCCAAACCCTTGAGAGTCTGTGGCTCCGACCTCTGGACTGCTAGAGGGTTTGTTCAGGGGCGCGGGTTTGGGAGGCTCAGCTCGGATCCGAAAGGTTATGGTCCGGGGCAAAGGACTTTGAATCCACTGAGGCCGACGTCTCAAAAGTTTAGGGTTTAGGGTTTAGGGTTTAGGGTTTAGGGTTTAGGGTTTCGGAATTCATGTTTTCAAGAGGTCCAGACTCTGCGCAAGCCCCCCCCTCCAGCAGACAGAACGCCCAAGGTGTTAACAGTGCGTGGCATGGGCAGGCAACCCTATCCTGTAAGCCCCGGGGCGTTGTCGGTTCCTTTATAGTCTAGGTGCTTGGGAACCTGAGAAGCTCCTACAAGCAGTCTCATGGCCAAACTACCTGCGTGACACATAAGAGTGATCCACCCGTAAAGCAGCAGCAAGAAGTCGCCAGAACACCGGCTGCAACAGTTTCTCTCTAAGAGCAACAGCCCCGTATCACGAGCAATGAGAGCAAGAAGAGCGCCGCTGAGAGTATGCTGAGCAACAATTCGCTCACTTATCAACATACGTAGTACGAGCAAGGGCAACACACGTTTGTGACAACATTCGTACGGTTGCAGAAGAACAGGACCAGTCGCGACCATCACAATGGGAAGCTCAGTTTGGGTAATTAAGGCCGTCCTCAACGTGTAGCAAGAGTGTAGCCATTTCAGTGTTAGCAGTGCTTCTAAAAGAGATGGCAGAGTAGACTTATTCACAATCATGCTGAATCATGCTGGCAGGAGACATACTCATGGGTTTCCCTACTACCCCGCCTCTTTGCTACCCCCCTTAGGCTCCCCCCTTAAATAGCCTTAATTAGCGGAAATCCATGAAATACTTGCAATTTCTTGCCATGCCTCTTTCCCCAACCACTGTCCCGTCAAGAAGATAAGGGGGGCCATCGCCAGTGCTTGGGATTGTGTGCTGCCTGACGTGGAGTACACCCCTAAGCCCTAAACCCCTAAGCCCTAAGCCCTAAGCCCTAAGCCCTAAGCCCTAAGCCCTAAGCCCTGAGGCCCAAACCCTGAACCCTAAATCCTAAACCCTAAACCCTAAACACTAAACCCTAGATCGCCGGGCTGGCTCCACACAGCGCATCGATGTTTAGATTGTCGAGTTGTGGCCCAACTCACGCGAGGAGGACCCCTCCCATACCCCACGCAACCTAAACCTTGAACCCTGAACCCTGAACCGTGAACCCTAAACCCTAAACCCTGAGCCCTAGACCCTAAACCCTACACCCTGACCTTAAACCCTAAACCCTAAACCCTAACCTTAAACCCTAGACCCAAAGCCCTAAACCCTAAACATTAAGCCCTAAACCCCAGACCCTAGACCCTAAATCCCAAAACCTGAAAAGAGGGTTTGAGGGGCCAACGCAAGTCCCCATGCCTCAGATCCCGCTCTATGTCAGGGTTCAGAGTTGAGGGTTCAGGGTTTAGGGTTTAGGGTTCAGGGTTGCAACCCTAAATAGCCGCAACCCCCCTAAGTTCTGAGAATCCTAAGTCCGAAACCCTAAACCCTAAATACCCTAACCCTAAACCCTAAACCCCTCTAAAACCCTAAACCCTAAATACCCTAAACCCCTGAGTACCCTAAACTAAACCCCTCTGGAGCCCAAAGCCCTGCCACGCCGGCGATGTGACGCGGGCATGGCGCGTGGCACACAGCGGAGCTGCCCGGCTGCAAGGAGTATGTTTAGGGTTTAGGGCTTAGGGCTTAGGGTTTAGGGTTTAGGCTTTAGGGTTTGAGGCTTTTCGGGTTTAGGGTATCTAGGGTTACAGCATTTCGGATTTCCGGTATGTATTTAGGCTCTAAGGTATGCCGGGGTTTCGGGTATTTAGGATTTGGGGTTTAGGGTATTTGGGGTTTAAGGCTTTTTAGGTGTTTAGGGTATGTAGGGTGCCCTTATGCCTAAACCAAAATACCCTAAACCCTACACCCTACACCCTAAACACTAAACCCTAAACCCTAAACCCTAAACCCTAAACCCTAAGCCCTACACTGGCTTGGGCTTCAGGGCGCAGAGTTCGGAGGTTAAGGGATCTGAGGTCTCGGAGTTTGGTCGTGGTCGAAAAGGCTGGGAGTTTTTAGGGCTCCTGGGTTGGGGCTCGAAGGCTTAGGGGTTAGGGCTCAGAGGTTTAGGGTTTAGGGTTCAGGGTTCAGGGTTCAGGGTTTAGGGTTTAGGGTTCAGGGTTCAGATTTTAAAAACCGGCCTTTGGTTTGGGATCAGAGTTTTGGGGTTCAGGGTTTAGGGTGTGTAGTCGACGACCTGACCTGTCTGGTTCAAGCAAGCTTGACATTCTTTTGCCGCATATGAGCTTCAGATTTTGGTGCCCAAGAAGGACTCTACATCGAGATTCGCTGGGTTCTTGCTAGGGAACTCAAATGAAGTTACCAGAATGCGGGGCACCATACTACTAGCCGTATAGCCCCAGTATGATAAGTAAATTTAAGTTGCCCCACAACCACCCCTCCACATGCCTATTCAGTATGCAAGGTTTCAGAAGGTGTTTGTTTTTGAACAGGGTGTAGGGTTAAGGGTCTAGTTACCAGGGTTTAGGTACCCGGTCCATGGACCCAAAGTACATACCGCAGTCTGCTGAACGGATGCTTAAGGGTCTAGGTACCAGGGTTTAGGTACCCGGTCCATGGACCCAAAGTACATACCGCAGTCTGCTGAACGGATGCTTAAGGGTCTAGGTACCAGGGTTTAGGTACCCGGTCCATGGACCCATAGTACATACCGCAGTCTGCTGAACGGATGCTTTTGCCACGTTCTTGCAACACAGGCCCCCACATCTTCGGACCGACCTGCTGCCATGGAGCCACCGCCGCTGCTTCCCGACCAGGCAGTCCAGGTGACTGCGGATGCTGAGTGGCTGAAGCTTTGTCATAGTTGGGTAACACATCTTACATTTTTTAAGGGTACTTAAAAACCCAATAAGGAATAGAACTTTGGGAATTTTTACTACTCTCCCAACCAAGAGCTAGGAAGAGTGCTTTGGTGGCTCACCCCAACCTTGCCTGGAGCGCCAGCTGCTCAACCCTGCTTGGCGCCTCGGGGCTTGTTCAGGAGGTGGACCCCCTGGATGGCACGGCGAAGCTGCAAGCCCACCTTCGGCTCTCCGATGGCTCCCTTGCGAGCGTGAAGTTTACCCAGTGGCTCCCTCTGCGCGCGCTGCTGGAGCTCCCAGAGCCCGGAGCCTCGGAGCTCCGCGCCGCGCTGGCGGCATTTCGCCAGCAACTGGAGGCCGGAGGGCCGGAAGGCCGCGAAAGCGACCCAACTCCCGCCAGGAGCCAGGAAGACCAGGAATGGAGCCTGGCCAGTGGACATCCCCTGCCGCTGGACGTCGTCGTCGTGCGCTTGGACGGCACGGAGTTTGCGAGATCCGTGGAGTCCCTGTCGCACCGCTTCGAGGTCTTCAGGAGGTCTGTCGCTGCCTATGTGCAGAAGGACGAGTCCCAGGTGGATCTTTTGCTTGGAGAAATGGCATTGCCCAAAAACGGAACATTCCGGCAGATTTCTGATCTTCTCGTTCCGGGCATGAGGCTGCAGCTGCTCCTCCGCAGGCGAAAGCTCCACCCGGGTGCCGCCAAGCGGCTGGCGAAGGAGCTTCGGGACTACGAGCGCGAGGCCTCGAACATTGTCATTGAGCCCGTGGAGGATCCTGACTTTGATGGCCCAAGCGATAGGTGGGTGGCTGTCAAAATTCGGGTCCCTTTGTGGATCCCTAGACTATAATACGGCACCTAATATTTAGGGTACCCCAAAAAGGGATCATAATTTTGAGAACCACCCAGGTGGACCCTGCAGATACCCGGCCCGCGAGACAGCCCTTACGAGGGGGCGGTCTTCTCGCTGAGCGTGCGCTTCCCGACGGACTATCCCTTCAAGCCGCCTCGCATCCGGTTCGTCACCCCTGTGTCTAGGATGCCCAGTAGTATCCTTATTCCCTTTTTGGGGGGGGTTTAGGTTCCCTTACAAACCCCTGTAAGCAAGAAAGGGCACCCTTGTTAAGCCCAGGCTACTGGGCAGCCGAGGTGTGGGCCCCCGACGTGAATCCCCGGACCGGTGAGATCGACATGGACATCCTGGGAAGTAGCTGGTCTCCTGCCCTTACCATCGTGACTTGGTAGTGCAGTGGTACCCCTTACCCCCTTTTTTTGTTTGTTGGTTCTGGGTACCCTTATAAAGTCACCAAATTCAAGTCCTGCACCCCAAACCCTTATTGCAACCCCAAACAAGGGTGCCCTTATTCTAAGATGGTTACTGGCTTGTTTTTTTTAATAATGGTACTAATAATAATAAGAATAATCGCAATAATAATAATCATAATAATAATAATAAGAATAAGAAGAATAATAACCATAATAATAGTAATAGGTTACTGGGCTACCAAGGTGAGGGTTGCCTTCAGCCTTGGCTTCATCCTCGAGGAGCCCGGCAACGATGGCTGCGGCAATCCCGAGGCGTTCAAGCAGCGAAGCTTGGGAGCTGAGTAGGGTTTAGGGTTTAGGGTTTAGGGTTTAGGGTTTAGGGTTTAGGGTTTAGGGTGAAGGGTTTAGGGTTTAGGGTTTGGGGATGAGTACACTTTACACCTTTTTGGGACACTCGAGTCCCCTGTTGAACTGAAAGTGTACACGTTTTTGGGACAGCTGCAAGTGTGCACGTGTTTTTGGTGGGCGTACGAGTCTCAGCAACTAAGGGGAAATCTCCTTAAACCCTAAGCATTAAACCCCAAACCCTAAACCCTAAACCCTAAACCTCAAACCCTAAACCCTCTTTACGAAGGAAAGCAGAACCGCGCCGAGTTTGAGGAGCAGGCGCGGGCCTGGGCCCGTCAGTACGCACAGACTGGCGGGCCCGTCTGACCAGAACCACCAGCTGGGCGATCTCTCCCCCGAGCAGAAGCAAAATTGTAGGGGGGTTTAGAGTTTAGGGTTTAGGGTTTAGGGTTTAGGGGGGGCTTCTCAGACTAGGACCCAGAGTGGGGCCCCTATTCCCTTGCTTAGGGTTGAGGTTCCCTCATAACCCCCTTTATACACCAAAAAGGGCACCCTTCTTATTCCCTAGGTTACTCCTTGGGGATCCTCAGAAGCTGTCGCATGTCCGAGGGATCGTGACAGATCTTTGATCTTTCGGGTTTCGGGTCGGGCTGTTTCGCGGGAAGCTTGAGGGTTTAGGGTTTAGGGTTTTAGGGTTTACGGCTTAGGGTTTGTCCACTGCAAGCGACGAGAGACCCGAGAAGCATCCCGTGAGCCAAGATGGACGTGTAGTGCTTACAGTGGAACAGTTCGGGCTTCCAGCTGTGGTGGTTTAGGACCCCTAAACCCTAAACCCTAAAACCTAAACCCTAAAACCCCAAAGCCCTAAACCCTAAACCCTAAACCCGAAACCCCAAGCCCTAAACCCTCAACCCTCAAGCGCCCCAACAGGTTTCGGGTTTGGCGAAAGCATTCCAATGCCGAGGCTCCCTCGTGAGAATCCTGTGCGTGCTGCTGGCGATCAGAGGTGGTTTCGGGGACAGGGGTTAGGTTAGGGTTTCGGGGTTTAGGGGGTTTAGGGGGTTTAGGGGGTTTAGGGGGTTTAGGGGGTTTAGGGGGTTTAGGGGGTTTAGGGGGTTTAGGGGGTTTAGGGGTTTAGCGATTTAAGGTTTAGGATTTTAGTGGTTTAGGGTTGATGGGGTTTGTCGGGTTTGTAGGGTTCGTAGTCTTTACTGGGTTTTCAGAATTGATAAGGATTCTCAGGCCTGATAGGTTTTAGGGCTTTAGGCCTCGGGGCTTTACAGGGTTTCTGGTGCTTTCAAGGGTTTATAGGGTTTGTAGGGTTTCAGGGTTTTAGGATTCGATGATTGATGGCTTACAGGGTTTTCAGGGTTCATAGGGCATTAGGGCTTTAGGGTTTTTGGGCTTGTAGGGTTTAGAGTGCTCGTAGGTTTATAGGGTTAGCAGGGCTTGAGGCCTTCAGGGTTTGAGGGTGTCGGGGTTGAGGATGTTGGGCTTTAAGGTGTTTAGGATGTTTAAGATTTAAGGCTTTCCGTTTTCGGGTAGTTCTCTAAATCGTGATCCCTTTGGGTACCCGATGATATGTAACTTAGGTCCTAACCCCTTAACCCAAACTGAAGCCTAAACCCTAAACCCTAAACCCTAAACCCTACACCCTAAACCCTAAACCCTAAACCCTAAACCCTAAACCCTAAACCCTAAACCCTAAACCCTAAACCCTAAACCTTACACCCTAAACCCTAAACCCTAAACCCTAAACCCTAAACCCTAAACCCTAAGTCTATCAATTCTTGTGCCGCGGAAGGCATTGGCTTCACGTCATGGCCCACGCACCAACGGAGGACGGAGCGAACCACACAGATACGAGAGAGAGAGAGAGAGAGAGAGGGAGCTGCGCCCCAGGGTTTAGGGGTTTAGGGGTTTTAGGGTTTAGGGTTTAGGGTTTAGGGGTTTTAGGGTTTGGGGTTTAGGGGTTTTAGGGTTTAGGGTTGGTTTAGGGGTTTTAGGGTTTAGGGTTTAGGGTTTAGCCCGCGTGGGTTGCAGGAGTTCTGGATCGAAGCATGTTGTTCACCCTTGTTCGGGGCCCATGAACAACCCAAAGGCCCTACACCCGAAACCCAGGCACCCTCTTTATTTGGTTTGAGGTTTGGGGTTTGGGGTTAGGGTTCAGGGTTTAGGGTTTCGGGTAGCCTCGGAGCAGTTTGGGGTTACTCGGGACCAGTCAGAGCTGCGTGCGGCAGCACATAAAGCGCAACTCTTTCCTTTCGGCGCATTCTTAAACACTAAGCCGGAAGCCCGACAAAACACACATACGATCTCAAATTTCAAGGGTAAACTGCCACCAGCACGGTTTTCAAACCCTTAGCCCTACAAGCTCGATAAGCCCTAGAAGCCCTACGAACTCCTACACGCCCCCCAAGCCCCTGAACCGCACCCCCCCAAAAAATGGGAAACATGATGAACGTCCTTCGATTCCTCGGTGTGCCGAAAGTCAGCCACAGGAGGACCCTGACGCGAGCGCTCGCACTCCAGGAGTTCCGCCGGGGAGGTTTGTTTCGGTTTTAGGGTTTAGGGTTTGGGGTTTAGGGTTTAGGGTTTAGGGTTTAGGGTCAAGTAGCTTTCGTTTTTGTTGTTCTTGTTTGGCAGGCGGGTTGAGGGCTTGGGGGTTTTAAGTTTTGTTTTATTTGGGGAGGGCGGGTGGGGGGGCGGGTGATCAGGAGCTTTGATTAAGTGGTTTGTTTTCGGTCTTGCGGGGTTTAGAGTACAGGGATTTGGGGTTCCGTCAGGCAGGCTAGCAGGGGATCCCGTGACCATGTTGCTTTGCAAGCTCGTTGGCTTCGACGTCAAATCGCACAATGCTGCTGAGCAGTGTACGTTTGTGTGCCTCTGTGTGTGTGTGTGTGTGTGTGTGTGTGTCTGTCTGTCTGTCTGTCTGTCTGTCCGTCCGTCTGTCTGTCTGTCTGTCTCTGTGTGTGTGTGTGTGTGTGTGTGTGTGTGTGTGTGTGTGTGTGTGTGGGTGGGTGGGTGGGTGGGTGCGTGCGTGCGTGCGTGCGTGCGTGCGTGCGTGGGTGTGTGTGTGTGTGTGTGTGTGTGTGTGTGTGTGTGTGCGTTTGTGTGTCTCTGTGTGATTCTGTGTGTGTCTGAATAACATTGTGTTTACACAATGCGAGGCAGGAGGTCCAACACAGGGAATAGCTCCTGCAACCCTGCAGCCTCCTACAGCCTTTAGACCCTTAAACCCCTGAACCCCTAAACCCCGAATTAAGCCCTTAAACCCTTAAGGATGAAACTAAACCCCTAAACCCTTAAACCCCAATTTGAGCCCTCAAACCCTTAAGTCCTTAATCCCCGAAACCCTTAAAAAATCTAAGCCCATAAAACCCTAGACCCGAAGTTCCTCGTGCAGGACCTCACCGTAGACTCAGTCCGTGGGTTGCAGGCGAAGCCCGAGCCCTTTTTGTTAGGGGGGGTTGAGTAGGGCCGAGGGACTTGGGAGTTAGGGCTCGTGGTGTAGGGTGTCAGGGTTTAGCTTTAAGAGTTGAGGGTTTTAGGGCTTTGTTTTGTTTTCCCTCTCGCGGGTGTATGGAGGCCTGAGGTTTTTTCATGGCTGCGTCCGCGCACAAAGGACCCCAACCCTAGGCCGGCAAAAGCTCCAGCCTGAACCCCCTCGGCCAGAAACCCTGATCTCAGGTAGCCTGAGCCTCAGATGCAAGGTACTAAAGGAGGGACCCTAACAAGGGACCTTAGGGGTAATGCAGGGGCTAATTACTTAGGTATACAGGGACTATATACAGGGATATAGCAGGCCCTTGCTTCATCCTAAACCCCTACAAACCCTAAACCCCAAACCCCAAACCCTAAACCCTAAACCCTAAACCCTAAACCCTAAACCCTAAACCCTAAACCCTAAACCCTAAACCCTAAACCCTAAACCCTAAACCCTAAACCCTAAACCCTAAGCAGCGCCCATCCGTGCCACCTCCTGGCATCATCAAGACGACGGAATGTTTCTTAAACCTGGCTAGAGCATGACACCCTGCGTTCGTCAGGTTTAGGGTTTTGGGTTGGGGTTTCAGATAGGGTTCAGGGTTTCGGGTTGGGCAAGAGTTGCAACAATAGCAACAACAACCACAGCAGTAGCAGCCTTCTGCGCAGGTGTCCGGTAGCATTCCACGGCTTTGTGGGCACTTTCGTGCTTGTGCTGGCCATGGCTGACCATCCCCCGACAGTTGCCCAAAAACTTGAGGACATGGGCGGCGTCGAGGGTATGATCAAAGTGAAGGCCGCTTGGTGCTCTCGGTGTAGTAGTTTCGCACATGTTCAGACGGGTATGTACATGCAGAGATAGCCAGAAAGTCGGGACAATGGTGCTGCATGATGTTTTGCAATGCACCAGAAATGCAGCAAGGTCAAGGATAGGGATGAGCCGTATCTCGTCCCAGCCATGGTGCTTGCATTGAGTTCAGAGGTGTGGAGGGGCTGCTTGGCCGGCTCATTCAAAGAAGGCCTCGCAAAGGAGCTTCAACTTACTGACGTGGCTGACGCGACTTTCCGTATTCTGCTTGACTTTCTCCTGCCGGCAGCCGCTTCGAGCGGAATCGTTACGGACTCGAACGTGTACCAGCTGACGGAGATTTCATTGAAGTACGAGATGCCGGGCTTAAAGTCCAAATGCACCTTGCACTTGTCATCGAGGGACATTTCGGCAGACAACGTTGAGCAACGGCTGTACTTGGCCATCAAGTTCCAAGATCATGCGGACAGTGGCTTCTTCCGCGAGGACCTGCAACGCTGCAGCTCGGCTTGCGTTCCACTCAGTTTCTTCTAGTTTGGTTTTGCTGGAGTAGCTGTAGTGCAGCATGAAGATGCCCATTGTGCCTTGTTGGAAGGCAAGAGTTTCTTGATCGAGAAGTTCATGCACATGGACACGTGCAAGATTCTGCGCGCGGTCCAGACTCGTGTTAAGGACATGGGGGTTCCACATCCACTCGTCCGAAAATGTTTGAAATGAGGGTGGGTACTACTCTGGCATAAAGTTTGTTGGCCCTAAACCCTGGACCCCGAGAGGTAGCTTCAGACTTATATCATCTACCTCGACTTCAGTCATCCTTTCCCTTGCAGTTGGCGCTTCAAGTTTGTACTGTGCTGTAAGGTACTTCACGCGACTGCAGGAAGTTGTGAATAGCCGCCCTGCTCTTTTTGCCGGTGCTTGCCTGCTCCTGCTGAAGAAACAAACTTACATGCCAACATAGCAAACCATGTTCCTGTATGCCGCGTGGCGGGTGCGCGTTCACCGGAACAGCCCCTGGTTCCAGGAGGATGCAGCACACGCGTCTTTGAGCCCCGCTGCTTTGACTGACCTGTGCATCAACCTGACCTGGGAAGTTATGGACGGGATCACTTGCCGGGCCAAGAAAGCCAGAACGGCGTATCGAAACGCAACACCTGTGGGGGTCCAACTTAACAACATCCAACATTGGGCCCCTGATCTGTACAGATTCCTGCAGTGAAGCGGATGATTCTGGCCAGTCTGCGGACCGGCCTGCCAGTAGAGCGGGGTAAAGGCGCTTGCATCCCTGTTACTTGTCTGCTGGTGCTCATAGTGGTAGTTGTGATCGCCGCAGTAGTAGTAGTAGTAGTAGTAGTAGTAGTAGTAGTAGTAGTAGTAGTAGTAGTAGTAGTAGTAGTAGTAGTAGTAGTAGTAGTAGTAGTAGTAGTAGTAGTAGTAGTAGTAATAGCAGCAGCGGTAGCAGCAGTAGTAGTAGTAGTAGTAGTAGTAGTAGTAGTAGTAGTAGTAGTAGTAGTAGTAGTAGTAGTAGTAGTAGTAGTAGTAGTAGTAGTAGTAGTAGTAGTAGTAGTAGTAGTAGTACTAGCAGTAGCAGTAGCAGCAGCAGCATCAGCATCATTGCTTATATTATCATTACGTTACAAACTGAATTTAGTTGCAGCACTATTTTAGCATTCAGGGTGTCATAAGAAATGAATACAGCACTTCGCAGACCGGGGCTTAGGGTCGGCGGATGAGCAGGTGCCCCAGCTTCGAGAGGAGTTGCGTGTTGCGGGCCAGAGGCCAAGACGGGGTGCTTGAAACTCATCTGTCGGGCAGCCAAGAATTGATGTTGTAGAGATGCCCAGAGGAATACAGTCTTGCATGCTCTGCGGCCCCCATTCGGTTGAGAGTTGAGCGTTAGGGTGTTTAGGGCTTAGGTTTAGATTCGTTGTTCGTATGGCGCACGTTTTCCTACACCCTCAGCATGAAAGAGAGGCAACGTTACCTCAAGATTGTCAGAATCGGTGTCAATGCTTCTCATTACTCTCTAGCCTGTGGCCAATCACACATCTACCCTAGACAGTCAGACAGATGTCCTTGCTCATATCCGAACAAAGAATGATTGGCACTGCATCTGCTGCTGAACCAAGCTCCACTTTGCTACAATGCGTACTCCCCTCGAATATGGACCGATCGAGCTTAGGGTTCAGGGTGGTTACCAAAACGGGGCAGGGGGGTTCTCATAATCAGGAATATTGCGTGGGGTACAAGCAACTCAACCTCCAAACCCAAAACCTATTTTAAACCTTGTAGTCCCCTAAAAACCGTAAAACCCCTAGCCCATGAACTCCTCAGCCCCTCAACCGCTGTTCCCTAAGCCCCCCGAAACCCACAAGCTCCTAGGCGCCCGAACCCTTAACCCTAGCTCCTCAGCTCCTAAACTTTCAGCCCCAAAACCCCCCCTGAACCCTCTTTTTTAGTCTGGGAAGTGAACCCCTACTGGGAGGTTCATGGTACTTAATCACCAATTATAACTCAACCCACTTATAAGCCCTTAAGTGCCCTACTATGGTTATAAGTACAGTTATAAGCACAGTCATAATGGGTTAATAAGTACCATGAACCTCCAAGTAAGTCCCTAAGTCCGAGGCTTGGACGACTCCGGCGTGCGCTCGGTGCTGGTGGAGCGCCGCGGGCCCCAACGTTGGGAGTGGGCTCAGGGTGTAAGGGGTTTAGGGTTGAAGGTATAGGGTTTATGGCAAAGTTTATGGTTCACGGTTCAAAGTTTACGGTTTAGGGTTTAGGAGTCAGGCGTCAGGGTTTAGGGTTCGGGGTTTATGTGCTGCAGCAAGCCGGATTACAAAAGGTTTGAGGCTTGAGGCTGCTTAAGGCCTCCCGCTTCAGGGTCTAGGGTTAAGGGTTGAGGGGTTCGCGTTTGAGGGAGTGGGGTCTCAGGGAAGTGGCGCGTCAATAGGTCCCTAAGCACGGATGGCTTTCGGTCGCTTCCTTCATTTTGGGGAGTCGGAGGAGGATTTCGCCGACAAGTAGAATGAGTCACCCGCCTGGCCAAGAAGCCCGAATCCCAGTCCTTGACACAGAAGGACGATGGTATTTTGCGTTGGAAAAAGAATCCATAGAGGTCGTTCTGCCCAGTCCGTTGTCTGGCGGGACGTTTCATCAAGAAGCGCCTTGCTGCAAGCCTCAAGCCCAAATACCAAGACACCAAAAACTTGGGATGTTCCCCCTTAGACTAGCAGTCCTTAATAGGGATCACAATGTTCCCCCTTATGCTAGCAGTCCTTACTAGGGATGATAATGGGGAGTACTAGAATCCCAATTAAGGACCATTAGTAGGTGGAACATCCCAACCCTAAACCCTAAGGCCTGAAGCCTAAACCCTAAACCCTAAACCCTACACCCGAAACCCCAAACCCCAAACCCTAAACCCTAAACCCTAAACCCTAAACCCTAAACCCTAAACCACAAACCCTAACTCACGCAGCCGAAGGCCTGACTGCCGCCGTGAAGGATGCAGCCACGACTTCGGAGGAAGTCCCGGAAGTCGAGGATCGCCTGACTCTTGACCCCCCCCCCCCGTTCCCGGAACATCAAGGTTTAGGGTTTAGGGTTTAGGGTTTAGGGTTTAGGGTTTAGGGTTTAGGGTTTAGGGTTTAGGGTTTAGGGCTTCCACTATAGAGCCTCTATCGTATCTGAGACCTCTGCATCAGGAGGGCCCCGGGCCCAGCCATGCGGCCCCTGTGGAGGCCTCGCAGCCGTGTATGGGTGGAGATTTGGTTCACAGTATAGGGTTTAGGGTTTAGGGTTTAGGGTTTAGGGTTTAGGGTTTAGGGTTTAGGGTTTAGGGTTTAGGGTTTAGGGTTTAGGGTTTAGGGTTTAGGGTTTAGGGTTTAGGGTTTAGGGTTTAGGGTTTAGGGGGGGTTAGGGTTTAGGGTTTAGGGTTTAGGGTTTAGGGTTTAGGGTTTAGGGTTTAGGGTTTAGGGTTTAGGGTTTAGGGTTTAGGGTTTAGGGTTTAGGGTTTAGGGTTTAGGGTTTAGGGTTTAGGGTTTAGGGTTTAGGGGGTTGTACGAACATAGGGGACCCCCAATATAGTCCCCCAAATAGGAGGATTCCCGTATAATAAGGACCCCGTAAGGTACCCCGCATGCTGTTGTGCAATGAATGTGGTGGTGTTGGCTTGGCTTCGTTGAGGTGACCATGTAAGATGGACTCAATGTTGCACACGCAGTCTCACCAAGTTTCATTGTTACATCCATCACCATTGACAGCAGTTCTGGTCTGATTTGTTGCCATTTGCCTGCTATATAGTTCTTCCTTTTTTGTTATATCCAGCCCCAAGCCCTAAACGCCAAAACAACCTAGTTCCCTAAATTCAACAGCACGGTGCAAAAACCCGTATACTCCAAACCCGCAAGAAAACAACAAATGTAGGTAATTGGGGACTTGGGTAGGGTGTTTAGCACCGCCGGCCTCCAATGCCCCAGTAACCCACTCCCAGAACACAAGGAAGGGGGTTTAGGGGTTTGAGGGGCTTAGGGGGTTGAAGAGGGTTATCGATGCCTCATGGATCTTCTGCCGGTTCTGAGCTCGGGGCTCTTACTGTTGCAACGCCCGGACTCAACCCGCTCAGAGCCCTCAAGTTCTGAATCCCTAAACCTGCGGTTTGAGGTTTAGGGTTTTGGGGTTCGACGCCTCCTTGAGGGGCCTTCGATACTATATCTGGTCAATGCCAGCGTCGGCCACATGGTGCCTCAGCTGAGTGTTTCAGGCAGAACAGGCGGAGGTTCATTCTTCCCATTCGGAGCCCAAGTCCCGAAGCCCCAAACCCTACCTCTTACGCTCTTTTGGCGTCGCAAGTTTTGATCAAGATCTTCCGTAAGTATTGGGATCCCCCAGCCCGGGGGTATGATTGATCGCAACCCCATGTGGTCGAGGTTTAGAGTGGGTTGAGGGTTTAAGGTTTTAGGGTTTAGGGGTTATAGGTGTTTAGGAATGTAAGGTTTGGGGATTTTGTGTCTTGGGGTGTTAGGGTAGTAGGGGCTTTAACTGGTTGTGCGGGACCCTTGAGTGCACAAGGTGCTTGCAAGGCTTTTGCAGAGTGTGCTTGTACGAGTTCATGGGCAATGATACAACTGCCCATGAACATTCAAGTAGGGTTTCATGCTGCAGCTGTGCTGCGGTCTGGTTCGGGCGTGACCCCCCTTAAGCCCTCATTCCCTAAACCTTAAACCCTAAACCCTAAACCCTAAATTCTACATCCTAAACCCTAAACCCTAAACCCCTCAAAAGCCTATATAGACCCCAGGCATTAAACGCATCCGAAATCCCTCGTGAGCCCAAGGCGCGCGTGGTGAGTGCGGACTCGGACTTCGTCCTCGTGGTGGGCGACTTTACAGGCGTTGAACTCCTTTAGCCATCATCGACCTGTAGCCGAAAGCTCCTGAGACAACCTCTAAGACCGCCCCTAAACCCTAAACCTCAAACCCCAAAAAGCAACGACAACAGCAAGCTCGCAGAAAAGCACGCGGACCCTGCAGCAACCCCTTAAAGCCCTAAGCCCCGAAACCCGGAAGCCCTCAAGCCCCGAAACCCCTAAACCCTTAAGCCCCGAAACCCCTAAACCCTAAACCCTAAACCCTAAACCCTAAACCCTAAACCCTAAACCCTAAACCCTAAACCCTAAACCCTAAACCCTAAACCCTAAACCCTAAACCCTAATTCCAGAGCCTCCACAGATGCTCCGAGCCAGTTTTGTTGCAGGCAGAGTGGCCGGGCCGGGTTCCAAAACCTTCATGGGCTGCTTTGTTGTTCAGTTTGCGTCGCTTGCTTGTTGGGCTGTTTGCAAACCCTAAGCCCTAAACCCCAAACCCTAAACCCCAAACCCCAAACCCTAAACCCTAAACCCAAAACCCTAAACCCGAAACCCGAAACGCTTAACCCTAAACCCCAATCCCCAAACCCCACACACTGAGGCTTGACAAGCGGAGCGGCGAAGTGCTTTGGACGGCCACGGCTGGCCTGGACGGTGTGGGGACGCCTCAAGCCTCGAGGTTTAGGGTTTAGGGTTTAGGGTTTAGGGTTTGGGGTTTAGGGTTTGGGGTTTAGGGTTTAGGGTTCAGGGTTCCGTTTAGGGTTCCGTTTAGGGTTAAAGGGTTAAGGGTTTAGAGTTTAGGATACGGGGTTCTGGGTATGGGGTTTTCGAAAGTAGACAGTTGACGCCTA